GTCTATCCGAGATCCGTATTCAAGACTCTGGTGAAGCACTACAACTTCTCTCTCCATCTGTCGCTTCGAAAAGCTTGTTTCACATGCGCTTATCCAGAGACCCTGTGGCATCTTCGTCTGGTCTTGCTGGCGTTGGTGTCGCACTAAGCGCTAGAGCTGAGGCAGCACTAATCGATTGGATCCCCATTAACAATCGGTTATGTGCTGTTAGATTAGAAAGTTCCATCAACGTGAGAAGAAATCGGCGTGAGAAACGATGTCTTTTCGTCATCTCCGCCTATGCCCCGACAGATTGCAGCCCGGATGCAATCAAGGATGAATTCTACCACCAGTTATCTGTTCTTCTCCAGAAAGTGCGTTCGACAGATATTGTAGTACTAGCCGGAGACTTGAATGCTCAGGTCGGGCGTCTAGGCACAGAAGAGAGTCGTCTAGGTGGCCGATGGGGACTGTTTGGTCGCAGGACAGATCACGGGGACCGTCTACTGCAACTGTGCACAGACCACAACCTGTTTCTGGCTAGCACTAACTCCCGGTACAGTCATCGCCGATGTGCCACCTGGCGTTCTCCCTCTGCATCTCAAGCCTGGACTCAAATTGACCACATCGCAATCAGCTACTGCTGGCGTGGTTGTGTACAAGACTCGCGCTCCTTTTGGAGTACCTATCAGGACTCGAATAATGAATTGGTTTGCGCCAATCTTACCTTACTTTTCAGTGGCCAACGAAGTGACCGCCACCAAAGGATTGATGTTAGCAAGCTGACTGCAACTTCTGTTGCTAGTAAGTATCGAATCGAGCTAGTTCCTAGGCTAGGTACCATAACACCGAAAAGTATAGATGAGCATTGGTTGCAATTGCATGACGTCGTGAAAAAGACGAGTAAAACGCTTGCGGCTTCGTGAAACCTCCCGCTTATAAGCACTGGGTTTCTTCTGGTTCCCTACAACTCATCGAAGCCCGTCGGTCTACCCCGGGTGACCGTGAGTTTGACCACAAACGAAGGCTTTTACGTAATGAAATTGAGCAAAGCTTGCGTAAGTACCGAGAAGCCCGGTGGTCAGAGCGTGATAGTGAGTTTGAAGCAGCAGCTGCATCTGGTAACAACCGGAAGCTCTTCCAACTCATCCAAGCCACTGGCAGCAAGAAGTCTGGTGTGAGTGAAACAATCTGTGAGGATAACGGCATGCCAGTCGCTAACCTCCATCAATGTCTTGGGCGATGGGCAGAATTCTTCGAAGGGCAGTTCAACTGGTCTGCTGCCCCGGCAATGTCGATAAGACTGTCCCATCCTCCATGACCTGCGACGACTAATCCACTCAACGGGATGGAAGTACGCAATCAACTACAACTCTTGGAGCGCTACAAATAGCCAGACCCAGATGACTCAGTTCCGGCCCATTTTAAGGCTGTTGGTGACTTTCCGGTTAAGGAACTGACTACGTTGTTTACAAAGGTCTGGGAACTAGAGAGTGTTCCAACATCACGGAATGAGTCGATAGTTGTCCCTATCTTTAAAAAGGGTTCACGTCGTTCCTGTAACAACTATCTGGGGATAAGTCTACTTCCGATTGCGTCCAGGCTATTGGCTTCCGTCATAATTCGTAGGTTGTTCAAAACTCGAGAAAGATTGACTCGCGAAGAGCAGACTGGTCTTCGTTCCGGTTGAGGATGTATTGATCATATCTTCGCCCTCCGCCAGATGTTAGAACACCGTCATACTTATCACAGGCCAACAATCATAATGTTTCTTGACATCAGGGCTGTCTTCAATTCGTTGGACAGGACTGTTCTCTATGACTGTCTGTTGAAAAAGGGTGTGCCTGAGAAGTTTATTAACATCCTAAAGGCCCTATATACAAGCACCTCAGGTAAAGTGAGGGCATAAAACCACCTCTCTCCATTGTTCCATTCAAGCAGTGGTGTTAGACAGGGTTGCCCAATCTCACTATTCCTCTTTAACCTTGCCATCGATGACATTGTGGAAACAACTCTGATGGATGTAAGTAATGGGGGTGTGGATCTGTTGACTGGAGAAAGACTTCTCGACCTTGAGTATGCGGATATTGTTTTACTGTGTGATAATGTCCAGGCCATGCAATCCGCACTTAATCAGTTGGCAATCAGTGTCCGTAGGTATGGTATGTGCTTCGCACCTTCGAAGTGCAAAGTACGTCTACAAGACTGGCAGGGTCCGAATCCTGCACTCACCCTGGATGATGAGCAGATAGTAGTCGAGAAGTTCGTGTATCTGGGTAGCTGCATAAGCGCTGGTGGTGGCGTGAGTGATGAGATCAATACACGTATAGTGAAAGCTAGAGCGGCTTATGCCAATCTGGGCCATCTTTGGCGCCTTCGTGATGTCAGTCTGGATGTAAAAGGTCGGATCCACAACGCGTTGGTGAGAGCAGTTTCGCTCTATGCTTGTGAAACCTGGCCTCTCTGAGTTCAGGATGTTAGACGACTCTGTGTTTGATCACTGTTGTCTCCGAAGGATTGCTGACATCTAGTGGCAACACCATGTCAGTAATGCAGAGGTTCAGCATCGTGTGTTCGGGCACAGAGACGATAATCCAATTGGTGTCACCAACTTGAAACATTGACTTCGGTGGCTTGGACATGTTCTACGAATGTCGTTCCAGCGAATTCCACGTCGTGCATTATTTGCCGACGATGGGACTGGTTGGGAAAAGCGCAGAGGTGGTCAGTGTATGACGTGGTGTCGGGATATAAAAAAAAGTCACAAGGGGCTGGCGTCTGTTGGCCCTTCACGACTCCCTAGCTGGGGTCCGAGAGATGGTGCAACACAGTGGCTAGAGATGTTATCAGATATGGTTCAGAATAGAAGCCAGTGGCGATCCTGCAGTAACCTTCTTTTACTTTCTTCATAAAAAGTGATTGTATCTTCCTTAACTGAAAGATTTCTTCTGATTGTACCTTTCCGTCTCCCCTATTATTACACTACTTTACACTAATCTGGTTGTTATTGCTCTTTTTTTCTTTTACGCTCCTTACCTTCCTTTTTTTCTCTTCCAATTCTCATTGTTATTGTGTGGCGAATATATATTTGGTGCCCCCTTGTACCAATATTTATGTGTTTAAATAAAATAAAATAAAAACGCCGGCAAACATCGTTTGTTGAGGTAGGCGATGGTTATGTGTACTTGAGACATGTCCCAACCACCTCGATTATTAAAGATTCACTAACTCACCAACCGGTTTGCCTAGCACCTACCTTATGACCAGCCTCAACACTACTTACTCAATCGTTTCACGACACATGTGATCAAAAATCTGTAGCATACTCGGGTTTATGTATATTTCGTTACGAGTAATAAGTTAATTAAATGAAGGTTACAGATAACATGCCTGGGAATTACTGGTTGAAAACAGACTACTTCAATCTCTAAGTACTTGCTGCTTCATTTATATGCTGAGCAACCATGGATCAACATAACAGACAAAAGACTATCATTTACACATCGAACACTTGATAGTGAATAATTATTCACTGCTATTGTAACTGTTCTTTTCATCATACCTTATTTTGATTCGAGTTTTTACAAACACAAATAATAGCTGTAATTGTTGAATGTATAATTATTCATCTGGGAGTTGGTTAAAAGTGTCTTACGAAAACTATTGATTAGTAGGGGTTTCAGAACCATATTAGTACCGTTAATACATTATCAGTTTAGCATAGTTTAACTATTACTACAGTACTTTATCCATCAATCAAGTGATCTACCTCGTACGAGTATAATTTTCGCAAGGAAACAAATGTTTACACAAAAAACGATAAAATTATGTAGCAAATAAGCGAAATACGCTACTCATCAATTTAGTTGTAACTCTTGTTTTAAAAAAAAGCGCTTAGCGTATTGATTTCGTAAGTCCCATATATGTATTGAGTGACTAATTTATCTATCTCGAATACTGTTTAGTTTAATGTATCCAAATTTACCTTTTGGTCAGATAACAACAATATTTCTTGTTTGGTTAAATAGAATAAATAATCCATCCTAAGTTACAACAGCAATGAATGACATTAAATTTGATTTAAAACATTTCAGAGAAATTGCGACTAGATCACCAAAGTCAACAGTTCGAAAGGAAGTACTGCACACAACAATATTGACTAATGACACAAACAAAGTGTGACGTGGTTATCCAGAAGCGGTTCTGTTTACGGGGAATAAATTAGATTCATAATGAGTAAATTTCAACTAGTTCACCGAATTTCAGCGACAACAATAGATTTGATCTTTTAAAGATGTACATAATTTACACCACGAACTGGCCTAAGCTAGACTATAATTGAAAATCAGGTGCTAGACAGCTGTTTCTTCTTAACATAGGACTTCTCAGTAGTGCACATCTATGACCTCGTCAAAGGGAATAGAAATCAGGACCTTTAGTCTCGCATGCGAACGCTCAACCCCCAGAACAGATTCAGGACCCAACAGTGTACATGTCTAACCCCAATCAATCCAGGATGATAAGCCGCCATTTTCTAATGCCTGAAGTAGATAACTGTCTCACATCCGACATGCTTGAATTTCGGTGGTCACGAATTCTTACTAGAAATCCAGGAATGTCTGTGATTGATTCCTGGAAATTTCTTAATGGTTCAGGAAAAAATCCTTCGTTTGGAAAGTGCACATATTAAATTGAAAACTTCACATTATTTTACTGTACTGGAGAGTGGGAAGGTGAAACATACATCAAAAAGTTGTGCGGGTCAGACAAATATTTTTTTCTTTCACTTCAAATACAAAGTCCTGGTCGTGTTACAAAACAAAGTATATATATATATATATATATATATATATATATATATATTTATTTATTTATTTAACACATAAATAAGCTCGTTTATAGAACTTGCTTGACGTTGTAAAATAATGAAAAAAGATGATAGTTTATTTCGCAACTTATCAAAAATCAACCTGTTTAATAGGGTACTTTAATGATTTACGGGTTCAGAATGAAGGTTGTTCTTAACTCATAACACGTTGTACAAAAGCTGTTGAAAGAAAATAAAGATAAAAAAGGATATATATATATATATATATATATATATATATATATATATATATATATATATTGTTTTACGTACCTTCAATGAGATATATAGGTAAAGCTATCACATAGTTGGATGACCTTAAGAATTTAACCAGTTTTAGCCAATCATCAAGGGGGAAAACGAATGATAATACGACGGGAAGAGCTTAGAACTCAAGTTTCAATTACTAAGTAGCTTCAGTCGAGTAACGTAATATGGTGCCATGTTTAAAAAATAAATCTAAACTTATTCCACTAATACACTGAGCGAAGAGTGTATTTAATAGATGAAAATGCAATATGTATGAATTATTGATTAAAATACAGCTTCATGTCAGTAAACTCATATTCTGAAAGTTTCGTCGAAATAATAGTTAACTACTAGTAACCATAAATCATGAGTTTACATAGTAAGTTATTTGACCATTTAATTATCTTATGTAGTTGTTCAAATTTTGGTATATGCGATAGTACTAGAACTCGTTCAGTGGGCTGGTTTTTGTAACCTATCTATACCATACACAGTTCTGTTTATTCAACCACGAGTCACATTATTTATGTGCAGAGTTAGTGATTCACTTGTTGACTTAGAATATGCAGATGACATAGTTCTCTTTAACAAAGATGCTGACAAAATACACAGTTTTTTGACCGCATCTAGCAACAGTGGGGTACTGGTGGGTACAGGACTGTTGTTTCTTTTCAAGTAACGCTTTTTAGTCTGACCATGCATCCGCACCTGAAACCAAAATACTAGGAAAAACCATTGGATTTTAGAGACTCCAGCTGCTCGAAAATTTATCCCGGTAAGGTTGAAAGAACGATGAATAGTAACAACTTAAGCCAGGTTTAAGAAAACATTTACACAAAAATCCTGAGTAGTCATCGGTAAATAAGGCAGTGATATATAACAACAGACAATTGTCCCGAATCATCGTCAGCACCACCAAGTTGAGTTCACTCAATAATAGTATCTCCCATCTATGCATTTTTAGATCGAAAACAAGTGCAAACAATTGAGTACCAGAAAAGGTAATACACGAGACTAGTATAATAATCTTGTATTTTTTTTATAAAAAACCATTTACCTTCATATGGTACAAGACCTTGACTATTTTCTAAACCAGATAATAATACATCCACTTCATCATCTCGTAGTTTTTCACCTAGTGCTGTTAGTAGATGTCTTAATTCAGCTGCACTAATTAATCCATTATCTTCTTTATCAAATACACGAAACGACTCAATAAACGTTTCTTGATCCACTTCCACTTGTTCTTTTAATAAACCATGATAAATTGGAACGAATGATTCGAAACTGATACGTTCGTCTGTTAGGGGAAAAGGTGGAACAAGATAGAAAGAAGTATTCAATGTATTCACAACTAGTCTTTCATAAATAATCTGACACATATGTGTATTCGTTCAAGTTTCCACATCATATTAACACAGAATGAAATCAACCAGTGAACCTGACAACGAGATGAAGATGCAAAGATAAATATCGAAGTAGTATACAGTATGATTGGCCACGCGTATATAGCCTCTGAAAGGGAAGTCCTACTCACTGCATTCTCGTGGCGGGGGTGTTGTTTACGAAAATGAGAGGACGAAAAGCGAATGTCCGGCGCTTTAACCGGATTCCAAATCTATGGTGCACATGGGCTCCAGTATCCTGAAGGAACAAATGGCGTCTGAACCAATTGTTGGTCACCGGCTTCCATGGGACTGCATCTCCTTACGATGCTCCACTGCCTTGTGGATCAGATCTTCAAGTCGAAGGCTCGGGAAGTGGCCCCCTAAGAAAACCACCTGCTTCGGTTTGGGCACCCGGGCAGTATCACAGCTCTCACACATATCGAATGGGATTTGTGTGGCGCACATGTATTTGGTGCCTCCTTGTACCAATGTCTATGTGTTAAAATAAATAAAATAAAAATAAAACAGTATGATTGATAAAGAATGAATTAGTATAATATGAAGTACAAGATAACTTTGAAACCCAAGACCTGGAGGAAGATAGAGAGCGGATGCAACTGCATCGGTGCGACAGATTCTGGGAGTCACTCAATGTCTCTAGCCATCGGTTACGAAAATTGAGGGGACCCCAACAATGTATTCTGCATCTACTAGCATGTTTCACTGCAACAGCCAATAGCTTCACGGACTGATATTATGTCTTAGGATCTGGGCACCCCTAACTTTATTCCAACCTACTCCTACTCGTTATCATTGGACGTCGAGGTAAGTGATGGCTATGGATTCGCAGCACATGCCCAAACCACCCCGGTCGATGAAAATTTATAGCCTCACAGACAAGTTTGCGGAACAATGTTTCAATAAGTAATACAGTGGTTAGAAGCTGAGCGCTTTAATCATTCAATCAACCAATCTAAGACATTTTCAATTTAAATGTACGTCTGATAGTATTTAAGCATGTACTTACCGTCTGAATTAAAACAAATTTTTTACTACCAGCTTATGTATCAAAAGTATTGTTCTGTCTTTATTAAATAACAATGGGCAGGAATCAAAAGAGAATAGACAATGAACTTTGATTACAGGAATATATAATGAAACTATTGATTGGTGAGCATTTTGATAAAGGAAACACTTTAATCAACGAAGAGAATTACATATCCTTCAATTGACTTACTATAATTATTTTGGTAAGATGGATATTATGAAATAACAACTTTCTCTAGCACTTTTAGTGCATACTTTTCAAACCATCTATTTGGGATTTACAGGTCATTCTTTAGCGGACTAAACCAATACGTATTAAGATCGCAGCAGCACAACAGAAATGAAGTTATTCTTACTTGTGGAACGTCATGGAATAAAATACTATATCCATCGATAGTATTTTGATATAATGAGTGATTCCAAAAAGATCATATGCTACTTAAATGCCACACTGAAGTGAGAAATAGAAATGTGGGAAGACAAAATATTCACCCAACCAAGGTCACTGTCTGAATATCTCGATCTGAATTGGTCATATATATATCCAGAATGTTGGTGTTAGTTATATAGAGAAAAAGAATGTGCTAACAAATGGTTTCAATGATTAAGGTCAGCAAGAACTAAAATACTTATTATGGAGCGATAAATTTCGATGCTTGAGAAACCCGATCACCAATTCTTGGAATACAAGTTTAAACACTTCAGACAACAGTTACATGACAAGCTTAGCCTACACATAAAACGAGTAAGTGAAACTCCAGTGGGTAATCTTGTATTTTTGGTTACTGTGTAACATTCGATATCCATTCTTTAAAAAAGTAAATAATTAGTCTCAAGTGAAATATTTCAAGATAAACTTATCTCGACAAATACTACCAATTTAATCTTCAGTGCACTTTAGAAATCACACAATTAAATAACTTATTAGAGAACTGAAACCAAGAATTTGGCCAATACACTGTCGATAATATAAATTAGGAGAATATTGTTTCCTGTCATTTTCAAAACCAGATCACGTTATATCAAATTGCTGTATATTATATTCGTAAAAACTCACTTGGATTATTTTGATAGCCATATTTTCCAATGTCCGACTCTGTTGGATTTAGACCCATTGCACGCACAACTTCGCCAATATCTTTCGCCTCGATTTTTTCATCTCCTTTTGTGTCAAACAGTAGGAACATTTCGTGAACATCTATTTACAGACTCTAAACTACGATATAAAAACATACCATTAAGATCCTTTTCACTTAGGTCAACCTATAATCAGTTAAGAACAAACATAAAATGTTGAACATACCATTTCCAATGCAGTAAAATTACTTTGTAGATGCACGGGCTAGTAACTGAATATAGCCAATTTTCAAATTATTCGAAAAACCTGTGAAATAAAGCATATAAGAAAGTAACTATAGACTGGAATTTAGTGAACACATTAGGAAGTAACTCTACGACTGATGGTAAGCGTTCGATAAAAAATGAGATGCTATATGTTGCTTTGTGGGAAGCACAGGCTTTTCGGTTGGAATTTGTATGATAATTAGGTCATACTTCTAACTGTTTCTTGGAGTTACATAGATGAACTTACCATCAGCTTCGCGCAAACGCCTAACTTCTAGACTACTGGAACGGTGTCCAACAGCGTTAATGTCTAACTTCAACCTATCCGCGATATTGAGAAACAGAAGGCTCTGGGCATGAGTCCCGCGTGCGGAATAGTAGATGCACATTGTTTAGGATTCCCATACTAGAATAAAACGGCCGTATAGCCCTCTCAGGCTCTTAACAGCAGTCTGATGTCAATCGGTTCATTATTTTGATGGAATTAAACAATCTCCACAATTCCATGCTGAAAATATTTATCGACTTTGTGTATGATATACCCCAATTTTTAGCGTCTTAAAAAAACATAAAATCTAAGAAGCCTCAACAAAGTTCACAAGGCAAGAACCAATAACTTATCAGCTGCATGCCAGATGCCCCGTCGAATTACCAACCAGCACTGGTTGAGATTGAACTCCTGACCTCGACATGTGATGCTCAGCCTTCTGAGGCGTTAAAGGGAGAGTTGAATCAACTGAAGGACGTTTATCGCCAGAGATAATACAGGGTACTTATCGTCTTACTGACCCGATATTGAAAGTGAAAGCGGAAATCGCTATTAGTAGCGATTTAGACAGTAGCTGATATTAATGAGATATCAGCTACGATACTCAAGTGTCGAGTAGCCTTTCATAATACTTCTAAATCAAAAAGTATCTAAATCTCTTTCCGCTAGCAATAATATGAACTACCATCTACCCTCTAGTGCCTACTATATTGTGCAACAGACTTCGGAATTTGCAGGACTATTCGAGTTTGGCGGCGAATTAGACCTGAAAGAACGACCCGCAGCGAAACACTAAAACAACCTTGTTATGTGACAAATGTTTTCGGATTAGAGGAAATTACTAATCTCAAATAGATCATCCTATCTCTTCTTCGGTTCGTGCTGTCGTAAACATGTTTTGTGTCAATGTTGTGAGTTCACTTTCGTGATACACATCCAATACTATCGCTCTAAGCCATTATAAACCAGTAGTCTTAATTCTCCTCGCTTCTTGATGCTACTGTGAGGTTTCGGGTCTGTCCATAAGAACCATTTTCATTTATAACAATGGTCGACCCAGAGCAGAAAGGATTTTTTCTGATAGAATTATGGAAGATAAGTCCTTTTAGAAACTTTTACGTATACACGATGTATTTTTTGCAGTACGACGACAAATTCAGAGCGTATATGATTATATACCTGTAATTGCTTATCTGTTTCGACTATCGAACAGGACCACAGGTGTACACCTTCAAAACATATTTAATCACATAGTATGAATAATCATGCTTCAAATTTCAGATTATATAAATTAATTTGAATTTGGATGCTACAATTAACATAATTCCTGGAACTAACTGTTCAGTTTGTAGGCAGATGAATCGCTAACCACACGAGTGCTGTGCAACTGTAGCCGATCATAAGAAGCTTAAAGTATCCTAAATTGTTGTAGCGGTAAATAAATCCCCAAAATAAATAGCACTAAGTTTTCGACATTGGATGCTGACCATATGTTTTAGTGGACTCACCTAGCTGAAGGCGCTCGGTCATGCATCCGCACCAGATCACGTGTGGTAACGCCGTGCTCAACATCAACCGCAATCGCTAGCCAGATTAGATCAGAGAATTCCGATATATTGGTCATCGCCAAATATACTCTTCCGATCTCCTCGACTCTGTCTTTTGATTTCTCTGGGCGGGAACGAAATATATTAGAAGGTGTTACTGGTAGAAGCGTTGTCAAACACTGAATACCTGTGACATCATCATTGGTGAAACCGACGTGATCTGGTACACCTAATTGCAACTGTGAGTCTGTTCCTTTTTGGGATTTTTATATATCATTGCCTTATTTTTTTTAACTTTTTTAAACATTGTGATTTTTTTTTTCGTGTTTTTTCCTGTATATATATATTTCCCCCTTGTTCATTATCGTACTTCATACTTCATCATGACTGAACAGACACCTAAAGTACTCAAGCTTAAGACTTTGTCCCCGCCTTCGTTTCAACTGATGCCTTTCTGGCCCGACAACATCGAAGCCTGGTTTTGCTACGCAGAAGCCGACTTCTACGAGCACGGCGTGATCGACACACGTGCACAATTCCTCGCAGTAGTCAAGGCACTACCGCGCGAATTCAACAGGTACGTAACACCTAGTATGTTTACTAGTGATGTTTCCGATCCTTACGAAATCTTAAAACGCTCGATTCTTAAACGAGGAGACCTAACCGATCGACAAAGGTTAGATCAACTCTTCAACAATATCGACCTGCAACACGGTTCTGCGACAGACATGTTGCAACGGATGAGAGAGGTTATAGGCCCAAGAACTTTCGACGAAGACCTATTCAAACAACTCTTCTTGTCAAAACTTCCCCAACAGGTGCAAGCAGTTCTGGTCTCGTTCCAGAACAACGCCTTAGACGAGCTAGCTGCATCTGCCGACCGCATATTAGAAATTACGAAATCTACTACCGAGGTATTTTCAGTCAAAGAAAAACCTCAAACGACTCAGAATGATATAAACGACTTATGTCACACACTCACGCGTTATCTTAGTCTTCGTAACGACCGTAAGAGATCGCGCACACCACGTAGAAGCATTTCTCGTAAGCGATCTGTCTCTAGACCACGAGAGACAGATAACCCCGACTGGTGCTGGTATCATAACCAGTATGGAAAGCTTTCCAGAAATTGCAGAAAACCCTGCAATTTTCCCAACACGAAACCGACTGATTCGAAAAGCAATTCGGGAAACTTCCAAGCCGGCACGCGTTAACGGCAACCGTAGCCGGCGAACAAAGCCGTCTGTTATTCGTCACAGATGTGACAACGAGAGTTCGTTACCTCGTCGACACTGGCGCAGAAGTTAGCGTTCTCCCAGCAAATCCTAACGACCGGCTTCAGGAGTCGGCTTTTAACTTACAGGCGGCAAATGGAAAACCGATCGCTACGTATGGCAAAAGGTACGTTTACCTTAACGTGGGTTTACGCAAACCCATCCACTGGATTTTCGTTGTTGCAGATGTTTCTATGCCAATCATTGGTATGGACCTTCTACAACACCACAATCTGATCATCGACACTCGCAAACGGAGGCTAGTAGACAGAAACACTAATTTGTCCGTTTGCGTAACTTCTTTTACTGGTTGTAGAGTATCCCCAGTCACAGTTAAACATATGATAGACCCACTCTATCAACCACTACTCGATAAGTACCCTGAGATACAACAAACTCAAACGAAACTACCGTGTGTAACCAGCAATGTTACACATCACATCACGACTACAGGACCACCTGTATTTTCTAAAGCACGCCGACTAGCTCCTGAAAAGCTAAGGTTAGCGAAAAACGAATTCGATCACATGATGGACTTAGGAATCATACGACCGTCAAGTAGCCCATATGCATCTCCGTTGCACATGGTCCCTAAAAAGGACAGCAACGATTGGCGTCCAACTGGTGACTATCGGCGATTGAACGCGAAAACCATTCCCGATCGTTACCCGTTGCCTCACATTCACGATTTGACAGCTACCTTGAAAGGTACAACTGTCTTTTCGAAAATCGACTTGGTTAAAGCGTATAACCAAATCCCTATGGCTACTGACGACATACCGAAAACGGCTATCATAACTCCCTTCGGACTCTATGAATTTTTGCGAATGCCTTTCGGTCTAAGGAATGCTGCTCAAACATTCCAAAGATTCATAGACGACGTTTTTCGAGGTCTCAACTTCGTACACGCGTATGTTGACGACTGTCTAATCGCAAGTCCGGACAGAGAAACACATCTCAAGCATCTGGATCTTGTTTTCGAACGACTTCAAAAACATGGCATAACTGTAAACGTTCAGAAATGCCAATTCGGAACCAACTCGTTAGACTTCCTAGGACACACTATCGATGCTCAAGGCATTCGACCTCTTAGGACCAAAGTGGCGGCCATTCTGGATTACCCAGAACCGACCACCGTCAAGCAATTACGCACGTTTAACGGCCTGGTAAGTTTCTATAGACGTTTCATACCCAAATGCGCAATACTTATGAAACCTCTGACCGACCAACTTCGTGGAAATGCGAAATCCATTAATTTGGACGACACCGCACGAAAAGCATTCTCCACAGTTAAGGAACTGATTGCTAAAGCAACAATGCTCGCACATCAGGACACCCGAGCACCCATTAGCATCGCAGTAGACGCATCCGACTCAGCAATCGGAGGAGTCTTACAACAATGGGTTAACAACTCCTGGCAACCCTTGGCATTTTTCTCTAGAAGGTTGCTAGACACCGAATCGAGGTACAGCACATTCGGTAGGGAACTCCTGGCTATGTATTGTGCTGTACGGCATTTCCAACACTACATCGAAGGTCGTGAATTCACTCTTTTCACGGACCATAAACCGCTCACTTTCTCGTTAAGCTCTCCTTCTGACAAGTACTCTCCCCGTGAGTCTCGACAACTGGACTACATTTCGCAGTTTACTTCAGATATTCAACACATCTCTGGAGCAAACAATGTAGTCGCAGACGCTTTATCTCGCATAACTTCCTTGAACAGTTTCCAAGGAATCGACCTTCTTAAACTCGCCGAGCTTCAAAAAGAAGACAGTGATCTTCAGCACGAGTTATCGTCCACAACACTTAAACTACGCATCAAACAGATGGGAACAGGTAAGGAAACCTTACTTTGTGACACATCTACAGG